TTATTCAATATGACGAGACAAACCATATGGAAATAATAACCAATCCAACGATACTTTCTTTTGAGAAATGCTTTGTGAAAATACAAAATCAAACATTTTCAAAAACCAGCGAGAACTTAAAATTTGAACTGAAAATTCCAAGAATAGACATCCCTGAACTTCCAGAGAAAGAAACAACATTGGAACTTCAAGAAGAAATCAACCAAGAAGCCTTCAAGACGATGAAACAGATAAGAGTTTACAATCTCAAAGAATTGTCTTTTGAAAACTCTTATTTGAACACATATCGCTGTTCCAGAAGAAAATCGACTTAACTGCAATTTTTTCCAAAACTGAGTTAAGTAGGTACACTAATGGAAAAAGAAAACTCGATTTCATTTGGTAAAAAATTGCCGCAATTTTACTACCGAATTTGACCGCTAGTTGGTAGTTGCGTCGTTACTCCATTATAGGTCCTTTGCGCTAACATTTCCGAACAACACCGACGCATCGATCAGTTGTGTCAATAAGTGGAATCAGTTTTGGAAAAATTCCGACGTAAGTGCAGTTTGTGTCGTTATTCACCCAACAATTGAGATTGATGTACGGAAGTAAAAGCAACACTTTGGTGCAAAAGTGATGTTATTTTCTCTATAGGTATTATTTTTCCACGTTGTTTGTTCATTTTCTTCTTTTTTCTTTGCTTAGCACTAATTTCTAAGCGGAATTTGTGTGTTATGAAATAAAAAGGTTGACCCAACTGAGATTCTATGTGTTTCATTTCAGAAATATAACGACGTAACTACAAAATTCAAAATTTACCATCAATTTCAAAAACTATCTTTATTCAATTAGTGCGTACTTAAAGTGGTCCAGAAAATACTGTTAAGGTTTTTATTTTTAGACAGAATGAACATTTATCCTCTTGAAAATTATAAAATTAATTAATTGAAAGGACATCGCACACATCTTATGGGTTTTCGGGGACCGGTCGATTTTTTTAAAAATTTGGTATGTTGTAGTACTAGTGAAAATAAGTATTTTTCATCATTGCGCAAAATCTCTAACTATACAGGGTGACCCAGTAAAGTAGGTTCGAAAATCATAAACCAAGCCTTTCTATTATCGGTATTAGCGCACCCTGCAAGCTAAATATCGAGATTTTTGTTTTCGATTTCGCAAATAAATAGTCATATAAGCCTAATATACTATACAGGGTAGCTGAGCTTGCGTATTTTTTTAGAAATCCTGCCCTATTTTTAGAACTAGTGTTACCAAAAAGGTTGCGCTGGATTTTATTTAGCAGTAACTTTTTTAATTTTTTTCCGATTTAAAAAAATGTGGTATCAAAATAAAGCCTATATCACAGGGATGTCATGAAATCTAAAAAAATTAAAAATGTGATAAAATTCGAGATGGTTGAACGTGATAAAAGTATAACTTTTCATTCGATTAGGGTCTTGGATACACCAAATACACCTAAATTAAGGGGCGGTTCCTCAATTGCGAGTAACTCTAGGGGTTAACTAACCCGGTGTTAATTTCAACCTTGCAGGTTAACTGAGGATTGTGTTTCTCAAGCATCCACTGTAGGTGGAGTTAATAAACACTGGGTTAAGCAATAGTTGGTAGCATTATTGTTCACCAGAATGGTGATCCTAACATATTTTTGATTGGTCGAAAGCAGTCACGCATGGGTCGATCGTCAAATTAGCCCATTCACAAAACTTTTTGGAGTTTGTTGTTAAGTTAATGATAAGTTCGAGTATTCTTTTTGGCGCACCGTTTTTTCATTACAATTTGTTAATTTTTGAAGAGCGTGGTTAATGCAGTGTGTGTAGTCAATAGTCATGGAGAAGAAAGATATCGCAAGAGGAAAAAACTTCCTTGAATTAGAAAAAATTATAATAATCAAGCTATAATATAAGCGAAATATAGGGTGCACGAGGTCAGACATGAACTTTGTAGAGAAATCCTAGTCATCGTATTTCTCGAGAGGATTAATCCTTTGGCGGATTATATGAGGCGTTTTTCCTACGAAATTGTAGAAATCTTCATATCTTCATCAATCAATCCATATATTTCTATTTTGAAAAAAAAAAAATATTACCACAAAATTGACAAATCACGATCACGAATCATCAGGTTATCTCAAAGGGTAAATCCATAAATCCATAAATCGCTAAACCCGCAATATCATCAACAGTGAGCCGATTTAACCCAAGGTTACACCAAAAGTTATAGCTAACTCGCTGTGGAGAAACGTTTACCCTGGAGTTATAATCAACCCGGAAATGATAAACCGGCCCTAATATAAGTAACGTATTTGATGGATACTTCACATTGTTCTCATGTCGAGCGTAGCTAAAGTACCTAACAACGCTATAGCTATAACTTTGCATGTGCAGTATGTGCCCAATACTGGATTCCCTCCATCCAGCCCAGGGGAGAACAAAAATGATACAAACAGAAAATCTCTGCTTACTTATCTTGTGTGAACCCCGAAAATATTTAGATATATTCGGAAAGTTTTAGTTCATGAATACTCAACAGTGAGAATAGAAAAATTAATATAATTTTCATGTAAATCGACTTAAGGCCCACCCCACCACCCCTAAGTTGGAGGTTTTCTCTTTGAATCCTTTCATGTAGGGCATTTTCAATATTTTGCACTAGTCACAACATTCTGTGTTAAACACAGATTTCAAATGTCCATCCAACATGTCTTTGTAATCTTACGAGTATTATTTGCTTCCTCAGATGTAAATTATTGAAGATGTCTGGCCAAAAAAGGCGATATTTCACACAAATTCTGAGATTTTTCAGTTTTTCAGATTTCATGACATCTCTCTGTGATGTAAGCTTTATTTTGAGACCAGATTTTCTAAAATCAGACAAAAATTGGAAAAGTTACGGGCAAATTAATTCCAGCACGACCTTTTTCGTAACACTATTACTAAGAATAGTGCAGTATTTCTAAAAGAATACGTAAGGTTAGCCACCCTGTATAATATATTAGGCTTATCCAGACTATTTATTTGCGAAATAGAAAAAAAAATCCCGATATGTAGCATGTAGCTTGCAATGCGTGCCAACATCAATAAATGAACGGCTTGGCAATGATTTTCGGACCCACTTTACTGGGTCACCTTGTATAGTTAGAGATTTTGCGCAATGATGAAAAATACTTATTTTCACTAGTACTACAACATACCAAATTTTTAAAAAAATCGACCGGTCCCCGAAAACCCATAAGATGTGTGCGATGTCCTTTGTTTTTTGCCTCTCCTGTAAAATTATTGTTTTCGCATATACGTCGGTTTTCTTCTGAAACAGCGAATGTAATCATAGGTTTAAGTCTTGCTATTTTATTTATAATTTTATTGTTTTAGTGTTTTAGGAAGTTCAAAACTTCAGAAAAAAAGGTGTGCAAATGTGCAAATTGAATTGCCTGATTTGAATTCACAACAATCCACGTTTCCAACATCTTAAGGAGGGAGGAGTTATATTAACCAAATGCCACGCTGATTTATAATCAAATATCCATTTTTTATATGCTTTAATGTGTTTACCCCTTTCTTCTATGACTTTTTAAATACATTGTTGTAAAATAAACATCAAATTGCTATATCGGCATTAAATTCTTATTTAAGCCAGCGCAGTCCCATAAGGAACGTTCATTTGTTTTCAGGCTTTTGCTAAGTTTTTGAATCGAAAATATAATTCGCATACTATTTAATACTCATAGAAAATAGCTATTTATACAATAAGTTACGAAATGAGCGTCTTTTAGGCACGCGACGTGAAAATTGTCCAACGAGGCAAAGCCGAGTTGGACAACACGTCGAGTGACTAAAAGACATCGTTTCGTAACGTATTGTATACAAGATTTTTTCTACTGGCATTTTATAATAAAAAAACACAATTTTATTTCATGTGAATAAGTCGATTACACCCAAAATCTTTGTTACCTGCTTTTACTTGACACCTGACACTTTTCATGCGATTTTCTTTTCAAAATTCGACATCAATAATTAAAATCCTAGAAAGTAGGTAATAACACAAAGTTCTGTTTTGAGTAACCCAAACGTTCAATTCAGTAATTCCATTTTCAATATTCATAATAAATACAAAACAAAATTCAAATATGTGTTCAGTGTGTTTTCTATTTCTGAATAATGAATGACACTTTTAGGCACTAGTGCTTAAAAATTACTTTTACGCACTCATAAGTCACTTTTACGCATTCAAAAGTCACTTTTACGCACTGAGTGCCTAAAAGTAACTTTCACGTACTCAGTGCCTAAAAGAATGTCGTTTCAAAACTGAAATGACAATCGAAAAGTTGCTATTATGAAACGTCAGTAGAAAAAACATTTTTCAATATTGATAGAAACCTTGTTGTTATAAGACACCAATCTGTCACAACATCCAAATCAGTCTGTAACAAAACGGTGCCGTTGCGATCAGACACTGACTTAAAAATCTTGAGATCATCTGCATACAACAACAAAGCCGAAGAGTATTTAACCACCTCAGTAAGTGAGTTGATAAGTATAATGAAGAAGAGAGGCCCCAGCATCATATCATTGTGATTTCGGAAATCGTTATGTTAAGTAAAGTTCCCGCAGAACTATCATCGCAACAGCCCTCTGCGCCTTCTGAGCAAAGTATCAGATACCCATAAACTTCAGAATTTTACAGGAAAATTAAAAATTGGAGTTGCGTGGAGCCTTTCAGATTTAGAGCAAAACCACAGGCGCTCATAATAGTTGAACGCGTCATCAATGAATTGAACTGGAAAGAGACAAATGCAACCGTCATGCTAGATTAAAATAATTATTTATAGGATAATAACTTACCATTCAAGCAATTCATCCCGAAAAAAACCGCAGTCCGGGTACAACTTATAATAACAAATGCACCGCCTGACCGACTTTCCCACCCACGGAAAAATCTTATTTTTAACTTTTAAGTGTTTGACTTTACTATTCCATTCTATTTTCATTTTCTAACGTAACGAAAAAAGAAACCTCTGGTTTCTTGTGTTTAATAGCAAATTAATATGTTTTGCTAAGAGTTTTAGATATACAGTTTATTAATTAGCAATCAATTTTGATTATAAGTGTCTATGACGTAGCAAATTAAATAATGTGAAGCGCTAGGCTTTGATGGTTTCAGTCTGTGAATGTTTGGTAATAGGTAAGTAGGTGTGTTCCTACTTTTTGTCGTTTTTTTAATGGAATATAATATTTTTGGACAAAATTTATCATGTCTTGATGCGATGCTGTTCAAAATGTTGCCTCTTGAATAAGTTAAAGCGTTGTTTGAAAGGATAATCCATTATATTAAACAAGTTAATCTGAATTCACAAGTTACTATGGAGGGTCGTAAAATTAGGGAAAAGTTAAAATACATTTATTTTCAAGAATTGGCTTAAAACTTTCCCAATATCATCTTGATTTTATTTGATTCCGAAACATACAGCCAGTTTTTCAATGAACAACAGTTAATTAAAAGTTTTCATATTTTGGAGGACTCTAAATGCCATCTGAGTTAAGCCAAAGAAGAAAGATGGACCACGAAATGGAAATGCGGCATTTTCTGCTGTTTATTTTCCTTCAAAACTTTGGTAATTGGTGCCCTGAAAGTACCCACGATATAGTGATATTTTCTGCTAATTTCATAGGTACAAGACTGGAGTAAGTTGAAATCTGGATGTAGTTAGACATTACAAAAATATAAATAACTTGCAATTATATTTCAAATTATTGTTTGCTGCTTAAAAAATTGAGTTTGGTAAACACAAATAACCTATTATAAGACAAATTGGAATAGTTTTTCTGTACAGCTAAAACAAATCTGTGAAACTTATACTCTATTTTTCTGGCATTTTTTACCAAAGCTCATGCCAAAACTAAGCAGAACTGAATCAATTTGTTTTTACATGCATTTTGGCATATTCAATATGACTTGAAAATCCTTTGATGCACATTAGTTACAGACAATATTGACGTTAAAATTGTTTTATTTGAAGTTATTTCTATATTTTATTTAAGGATCGAGAGTCAGAATCAATGAAATCCCGAGCTAGGTGACCTGAATTTTAAACAACAAAATCAATTGGTGAAAAAGTTATGAAAAGATGGACCGAAGAAAATCGTTTCGAAGACAAAGCAGACGTTACCGAAGACCTTGGTTGAAAAAATGCAAGGAATTCATAAGGACTTTTATTGCTTTTATGTTTAGTAATGTTGGAATTATTGGATTAGTTGTAAGACTTACAATAAAAATTGTAGGTATTTTTTGAGCAAAATTTTTGTAGGTTGGATACACAATAGCTGGTTCCTTTATCTTTCAATTCCTCGAACGTGGAAAATTAATAGAAGTACACGTAAATGCCATTGGGAATAGGACATTATTTGCCAGAAAACTGTGGAACCTCACAATGGACCTAAATGTAAATGTGAAATTGCGTGAAAAAGAGTATCGGGCACTTATGGATAGGGAGCTTATTGAATTCCAAAAGGTATTTATAATCGGCGTGTAATTTGATTGTGAAATAACACTTTCTAGATTTTTGTCAATCTTACTCGAAAAGGTTTTGATGGTAGTGACGATATTAAAGGTGAAAAATCTTGGAGTTTTGCTGGAGCATTTTTATTTTCTCTGACAGTCATTACAACAATTGGTGAGTAAATATTGGGAGCCATATTACAATCACAAGCACACTCTCACTTTTTTGTCCTTACCAGATTACCACTCTGCAATAAAAAGCTGTTCTTCAATTGTAAGAAGCTCAAAATTTTCTTTCCTATAATCATTTATTTAAGGTTACGGGAATATTTGGCCTCGTACACCGAATGGAAAAATTGTCAGTATAGTATACGCAATTATTGGAATGCCTTTATTTCTACTTTATCTTTCCAATATTGGAGACGTTATGGCAAGATCTTTTAAATGGATTTATGCAAATTTGTGTTTATGCAGATGGTGTCCAGGGGTAAGATGTTTTGAAAAATTGAGTGCAGATTTATTCATAGTAAAACTTATGGTATTTTATAATAATGTTCTGTCAAGCCCTAATAATTTTTATATAGCTGGAACTGAAAAAAATAAACCTTTACAATTTTTTAGGTGGCCAAAAGAAGAGCCGAAAGAAGAATAAGGAGGGACCAACAAATGAATGAATACGACAGTGAAAATAGCAGTAGTAGTACAAGCTCTGCAGTTGTAAGTGCCATCATATTTATAATACTGAGCAATCAGTTAAGTTGATATTCCTATTTTTCTTTAATACTTCCAATATATTCTAAGTTCGACAAAAACCTCCATAATTGATCAAATTAGAGTTCAAGCGAGAGTTCAAGTCAAACATGTCCAAAGTTGATTTCTAAAATAAATTCTGGTAATTTTTAAATTATATCAGTTTAAAGTCATCATATCAGGTAGAAAATTTTTGCATCGGAAGCTTCTAGAGCAGACGCCAGTTGCCAGTTCCTTTTTTCCCAGCGCTTTTTTCTCTGTTACTGCTTCATTCCAAGGCCTAGTTATTCCTTATTCTTTCGTCAGTGTCAGTTTATACAGAAGACATCCTTAAGATGTCGACAAAAGACATTCACGACGCCTGCTTACGTCTTCAAGGCATCTTAAACATCTTAAAGTCGTATGGCACAAAACCCAACGTCTTTCAGACGTCTGCCTAAAGACATCTTCATCAGGACTAATATTTCATTATTACTAGGTACTCATTTTATAACTTTTAATTTTTGTCTATTCTAAACGCTAGGCTCTTAAATTCTTGATTTGTTTTAAACGAAAACATACACAAAATTCATTTTCTAAGAAAAGCATTAGAAACCCAACAAACACAATAACATTCTGAGGAGGTTCATAAGATGTAACGTTATTGTTGTATAATATGATACATAAACGTATTTCTAAGTATTATCACCTTTTCTATATTACCTGTTTTTTTTATGTACAAAATATCTGCAAAGGTAGCAGTGCTGAGCGGCTGAAAAGCCGAAACGACTCCCCCGCAATCTACAATATTACCTGATGTGGTCACAAGTTCTAAGATGACAATTAATATAAAGTTGTCAAACTCTGTGAGATTTTAAATAAAGTTCTGTTATGGCCGCATTAATGGCCGCTATGTTTAAATTTAGTTTTTGAAAATGACGACTGCGCCACTCTACACATACGGTTCGGTTCAATATTTTATTTTTTGTCCCAAACAAAATCTGTTTGTCGGTGAAACACTTAGTGAAAGAGAAAGACAAATATACAATTATGATGCTTAATGTAGCTTTTTGCCATGGCGCCATCTACTTGAAATTGCTTGAACTGTTTTCACCTTCAAAATTCGTTTTGAGGTCATCTAAAAAAATCCGCAATAATTTCCAAAATCCTATGGCATAAACATTATTTGATATTGTTTTAATTTTAATATTCCGTGAATCTAAAAGAAACGCGATCTTTTCACCTCGAAAAGATAATTTGGATTCGGTAATTTTTTACAACATTTATTGACAACTATCAAACTTGACAAAAGACCCGTTTAGAAAACAGGACCAACTACAATATACAAATACTTACAAGTTTAAATATTTGTAATGGGAATTTACTATTGAATCAGTGGCACTATTAAGGCAATAAGATAACACTCCCCCTCAATGGTAAATTTCCCAAAAAAAAAAAACATTAAATAACTAAACTAAACTAAATCACATTTAACAACAAAGTTGTTGAATGATGTCAATGATAAAGGTTTCGTGAAAAAATCTGCAATTTGCAGTTTTGTTGAAATATATTTTAATGAAACTATTTTATCATTGACTTTATCACGAATAAAATGATATCGAATATCGATGTGTTTCAGTCTTTTGTGGAACTCTGGGTTCTTACACACCTTGATAGCCGATTGATTGTCCTCATATATAATAACACTGAAAATATCATTAACAATATTTAAATTTAGAATCAAATTTCTAAGCCAACAAGCTTCACTTATTGCCAAACTTAATGCTATGTATTCTGCCTCAGTTGAAGATAGAGCCACAGAATCTTGTTTTTTAGAGCACCAACTAATTGTGCAACCAAAAATCTTAAATAAGTAACCTGAAGTAGATTTTCTGTCAGTTCTGTCTCCAGCCCAGTCAGCATCAGCATAACCCTCAATTACATTGGGAAAACAATTCTTTCTAAAAACTAAACTGACATCTTTTGATTTCTGTATGTACCTAAAAACTCTTTTAATTGCTTGCCAAAGCTGTGAACTAGCAGATGATTAGTATCTACTCAAAATGCTTATTGATAAACATAAATCTGGCCGTGAGCACAACATAGCGTACATCAAAGACCCAATTGCCTTTCTGCACTTCAGTTCAGTTTCTTCACTTTCAGATTTCTCCCGTTTAAGTTCATCATGCCTAAAATTTATTTCCATAGGGGTATTACAAGTTTTGCAATTTTCCATTCCAAAAGATTTTAACACATTTTGGAGATATAAAGTTTGGTTGATAATAATCTTATTTTCTTGTAAATTTTGTGTGATAACCATGCCTAAAAAATGTTTTATACCACCTAGGTCTTTCATTTTGAAATTCTGATTTAAAATATTTTTAATTTCATTAACTTCAGTCTCATTTGAACCTGCAACTAATAAATCATCAACATAAATTAATAGAAATATTTTCGAAACTTGAGTAACTTTTAGGTACATACAGTATTCATTTTGTGACCTTTCAAATTTCATAGACATCATCAAATCATTGAATTTTGTATACCATCTTTTAGGTGACGATCGTAAGCCATATAAGGATTTTCTTAGCTTAGCAAATTTACTTTCATTTTCATTAAATCCTTTTGGTAATATAATGTAAACATCATCATCGATATTACCATTCAAGAAAGCACTGCACACATCAAGCTGATGTACTTTAAAATTGAAATTATTGCAAATAGCCAAGAAAATTCTCACAGAGGGCAATTTTGCTACAGGGCTATAAATATCAGTAATATACAAATCTCTTTGCTGAAAACCTTTTGCCACCAATCTGGCCTTGTACTTTGTTATATTACCTAATTCATTTTTCTTCTTTATGTACACCCACTTACACTCAATGACAGCTCTTTTTACGTCACTTTCACAAACTATCACCCATGTTTCATTTTCTTCCAATGCATTCATCTCTGCCTCCATTGCCTCTCTCCATTTGTTCGCCTCACTACTAGCCATAGCATCCTCATAGCACATAGGATCATCATTGTCATCACTCGCTGCCATCAAGACTCTGTTTAGGTCCATGTCATAATCATCATATTTGGGGTTTCTTCTTATATTACGTCTTAAGTTATATCTCGCATTCACTATTTCTTCATTTAAATCTAAATCCATTCCATCATCTCCAGGTAATAAATTTTCATCACTGTGTATGTCACTTTCATTCAATATATCATTGTTATCTTCATTTTGTACATCTTCTGTTTCCGATTCATAGTTTTCTTCAATATTTATTATCTCATTTACTTCTTCCCGAGCTTCTTCCGCTTCTAAAATCTTTTCTGGTAGAAAAATAACGTCTCTATGGGTTTCGACTTTGTTCTTCTGAGGAATATACACCCTAAACCCTTTTACATTATCTCCATATCCAAGGAAAAATCCTTGTTTATTTTTAGGGTCCCACTTTAATCTTTTTTCTTTGGGTACATGTATTGATACTCTATTTCCAAAAATATTGAAGTTTTCTAATTTATATTCTTTTTTATGCCATAGTTCATAAGGTGTTGTCATTTTTCTAGGACTTGGTCCTGTACGGTTTAGAGTGTATGAGACAGTATTAATTGCTTCTGCCCAAAAGATTTTTCCCAAGTATGTATTGCTATTTATCATGGTTCTGGCAGCTTCTACCAACGTGCGATTCTCTCGCTCAGCCCTGCCATTCTGTTGAGGTGTATATACCACCGTACGTTGGTGACATATACCTTTGTTTTGCAAAATCTTCGTTACATCTTTGTTTACAAACTCTAAACCATTGTCAGTCCTTAGAACTTTCATTCTTGTTCCTGTTTGTCTTTCAGCCAATAATATAAATTTTTTAATCACACTTGGCACTTCAGATTTTTGTTTTAGGAAGTAAATATGTCTGTAGGAGGAATAGTCATCTTTGAAGAGTATGAAATATCGAGCTCCACCTAACGAAGGAGTTTCCATTGGACAACATACATCCGCATGAACCAACTCCAAAGTTTCTGTGGCTCGAAACTCACTTTGCTCAAAACTTGACCTGTGTTGTTTACCGACTAGACACTGTTCACATATAAAATCTCTTTCTATGTCTACGTACTCTATGTTCATTTTTTTCAAAAAATCTTTGACATATTTGATGTTCTGGTGAACTAATTTGCAATGCCAATCTTTTAAACTTTCAATGTTTTTAACTTTCATACATTCAGAGACTAGGTCAACTTCTGAGTCATTGGTGTTTTGTATTTGTGAACATATTTTGGCAATATCTGCTGCTTTTTCTTGGGTAAAAAGCATTCTATATAATTTATTTTCTCTTACTGCTTGGGCTCTAATGTTTCCTTGTTTATCAAAAAATTGACACTTCAAATTATCTGATGACATGAAATATCCATTATCAAGTGCACACCCAGCAGAAAATAAATTAAATTTTAATTTAGGTACATATAAAACATTTGATAAAGAAGTTTCAATCGATCTTTCACCATTATATGCCCACAAAATTATTTTCCCATATCCTCTTACCTCTAATTTCTGTCCATTTCCAACTTGCACCATTCTAGAAGTTTTTATTTTGTAAAGTTGTTCAAATAAATCCCTATTCCATGACATGTGCTCACTCGCACCTGAGTCGAGACACCAATCATTTGATTTGACACCTTCTGTGTGAATCATGAAAGCATTCGAATCATTTTCTTCCTCTTTTGCAGTATTCTTATTGGAGTTTCCTTCTCTATTTTTCTTTATCCAACAAGTTTGCACTAAATGCCCTGGTTTTCGACAGTAACTGCAAACTCTGTCTCTAGGTTTTCCTGAGTGCTCATTATTAGGTTTTTTATTTCGAAAATAACAATTTTTAGCTATATGACCAATTTTCGCACAAATGTAACATTTCATTTTAGTTACCTTATTTTGATTTCCAGTTTTTGCAGCAAAAGCTGTTGTCTCGACAGATGTGGATCTTTCCTCCTCCAGCAATAAT